TGCGGGGGAGTACGCATCCCCTAAAGAAAAAACCTCAAAAAAAAAAAAAAAAAAAAGAGCTCTGGGGACAGGCAAGTGGCATGGCACTTAAGGCACTGGACTCCCACATGGCTAACCACAGTTAGAGTCAAAATAATTTGTTGTCTCTCTCTCTCTCTCTGGTCAAATTTAAAATAATAATAATAATGAATAAAATTAAAATCTTAAAAAGTAATTTTTAAAAGTAGAGCTTTGTCTTTATGGCGTTTCATTGTATCTCAAACTCTTAGCAGGTGCTCAATAAATGTTTATTGAACAAGTGAATTGGAAGAAGCCTTGGGGTTGGGAGGTGGCATGGCGATTAAGCTCACTGGACTCCCAAATGGTTTGCTTTCTCACTTTCCCTCTCTCTCTCTCTCTCTCACTCTGCGCAGCTCTGGTTAAATTAAAATAAATAAATTAAGTTAAGTAAAATAATTCTTTTTTTAAAAAGTTATTTTTCATATGTTCAATAACTTTTCAATGCTAAGTTTTGCATTAATAAATAATAACATATGATGATCTTGTATTAAGCTTTTTTTTGTTTCCACAAAATTATACCATTTGGATACAAAGGAGCATTAGGTATACAAGTACTTCCATTTATAGACTCAATATGTTATCATGTGTAATAAATTATGTAAAATCATAAATCATCATCGTCAATTCCATTTCAAATTCTACAGCTTTTTTCACATGAAGGTTTACAATAATGCCTTGTATGTCTAACTCAGGTGTGTGAGAAAGAACTGTACTGCATGGATTGGGCAGTTAAAATGATGCAGAAAGTCTGTAAAGTTTTTAGCACCCCTGTGGAAAGAAATAACTTCCTGCAGAGTGTGGCAAATGCATTCGCATGTGTTATCATGGAGATGCTGCAAACTATCATGTCTGGTGAGTAGAAATGTAGATGGTATATAGGTTCTAATCTGAACTGAAGGAAGAGCATCAACGTTTCATTTCTAGACTAAGAAAGAAGGAACTGGCATTTTTTTTTTTCATCAGATAGTTAGTTCCTACATTTTTTTTTCACTTATTAAATTTGGCCTTAGGATAGTGGTTAAGGCAGCTGGAATGCATATGGCTTACTATGCAGTTTAAGTCCTAGATCCAGTGGCTTGAAAAATACACTGGGCACATGTACAAGTGTACCCAAAATCCCAAGAGGAAAATGGAGGAGAAGGGATTGCAGCATGGCCATCATCTTTAGGGGGTGATTTCTCACTTTCTCTCTATATGTCTCTCTGGCAAGTACACACACCCTATGGCAAAAAAAAAAAAAAAAAAAAAATCTTTAATTTGGCTTATCAGGGTCTTGCCACATCACAGTCCAGTTAGCTAGGCCCACAGGCAAGCACCCCACATGCCTGACCTAAATAAATTGGGTTGGGAATTGTTCCTGGGGATCCCATGCTGCCTCAGCCATTGTGCAGTGGCACCCTCCCATTCATGTCCTGCAGCTGGGTCTGCTATTATTTTTAATGAGGAACATAAAGAAAAGTCTGCTTTGAAAGGAACCAACTTGAATTTTGCATGGCAAAAATTAACCTGTTGTTGTCTATTTATTCTTATTTATTTCATGAGAGAGAGAGACCCCCAACAGGGCTTTCCTGCCACCATCCACCTCTCATCTCACTTGGCATGCCCAGGGAAATCCCAGGACATGAACCCAGGACCTTTCCCATGGGGGTCCAGCTACAGTACCACTGTGCCACCATCTGGGCCACAGCAAAAATTTTTACTTTTTCCTTTACCAATTATCATAAGTTCCATAATCATGTCATATATTTGTATCTTTTTTAAAAAATAATTATTTCATTTAACTTTGTTCATCATACTTTTTTGTTTTGGTAATTTGACCAGAGAGAGAGATACAGAGCCCCATGGGGGTCCAGCTACAGTACCACTGTGCCACCATCTGGGCCACAGCAAAAATTTTTACTTTTTCCTTTACCAATTATCATAAGTTCCATAATCATGTCATATATTTGTATCTTTTTTAAAAAATAATTATTTCATTTAACTTTGTTCATCATACTTTTTTGTTTTGGTAATTTGACCAGAGAGAGAGATACAGAGCGGGAAAGTGAAAAAACAAGCTGCCAGGTCCAGAACTCAAACTGTGGTCAGCCATGTGCGAATCCAGCACCTCAACCACCCCAGAGAGAGACAGAGAGGGAAAATGAAAAAGCAAGCCACTAGGTCCGGTGTTCAAACCACAGTTGGCCATGTGGGATTCCAGTGCCTTAACCACCACACCATCTGCTGGCCCCAGCCCTGCATAGTTTTGGTTGTTGTTGTTTTTAATTTAACATACATTTATTTATTTATTTATTTTAATTTGACCAAAGAGAGACAGAGTGAGAGAGAGTAAGAAAGTAAGCTGCCAGGTCCAGGACTCGAACCATGGTCAACCATGTGGGAGTCCAGTACTCTTAACCACTGTGCCACCTGCCAGCACCCCCTGTATAGTTTTAACCAAATATTATTTTCCAGTTTATTGGGAACCAACATTATAATTAATATTACTATACGCATGAGAAAACTAAGGCTTAGAGAAATTACCTGACTTGCCCAAGGTCATAAAGTTAGAAGCATTAGGGAACCAGCAGTTAGCGTAATGGCTATGTCGCTGGACTCCCACGTAGTCGACTGCGGTTCGCATCCTGGACCCGGTGGCTTAAAACTCACACCGGGCACGTGTGTGTGCGTGCCCAAGATCCCGAGAGGAGAATGGAGGAGAAGGATTGTGGCGTGACCATCCCCCCTGGGGGGTGATTTCTCGCTTTCTGTCTCTATGTCTCTCTCTGTCTGTCTGGCGAACGCACACGCCCTATAGCGAAAACCTCTCCAGAAAAAAAAAAAAAAGTTAGAAGCATTAAAGCATAACCCAACATCCTTTTCTTCATTTTTTTAAATAATTATTTATTTATTTATTCATTCATTCATTTCTTAATTTGACCAGAGAGAGACGGAGGGTGAGAGAGAGAGAGAGAGAGGAAGTGAGAAAGCAAGCCACCAGATTCAGGACTCGAACCCTGGTCGGCCATGTGGGAGTGTCCAGTGCCTTAACCACCACGCCACCTGCTGGTCCCTATTTATTTACTTATTTTTAAATTTTGGTCAAAGAGACACAGAGAGAGAGGGGGAAAGTGAGAAAGCAAGCCAAGCCACCAGGCTCATGTGAGAATGTCCAGCACCTTAACCACCACAGCACCTGCTGGTCCCATTTTTGTTCAGACTTCTAATCCAGTGTTCTATATAATTACATGATCTCAATAGTAAGTATGACATAGTAAATGTTGCTAACAGAAAGTCCTCTGTTTAAATGTCATTAGAAGGGGCCAGCAGGTGGAGTGGTGGTTAAAGTGCTGGACTCTCACATGGCTGACCAAGGTTCAAGTCTCAATCCTGGTGGCTTGCTTTCTCACTCTCTTTCTCTTGTAAAATTGAATAATAATCATAAATAAAATTAAATACATATTTTAAAATAAATAAATATTATTAGAAACTAGAACATCTTACATTTCAAATAAATCATATATTAAATGTTTAACTGTTATTTTCTTTTCCCTGCTCCTTGTGTGGTATGTAGGAGACCGTGATGAAGATGACAGAAGCTTTTTGAATTTGTTCCACCTTGTACATGCTCAGGCTAACTTCCACAAGGAAGTCCTATATTTGACCATGAATACTCTCTCCACCTAAGTACTCAGAAAGTCTTGCCTTCAGAGAATATCTCACTGAATAATCAGAAGAGTGCTACTTTCCACGCCCCAAAAATAGCATCCATGGACTTTTTATCATCTAAGTAACCTAAGAATTCAAAAGCTGCATAGAATTTTAGAAGCAACCGCTTACACAATTATTAATATAAAAATAACAGGCAACCCAAGAATGTGTTGAGATTTCTCTGGAAAATAGGCTCTGCTTTATTGGTGTTTGGTAAACCTAATACCATGCCAAAATATAATGTTAGCTGTCCAAGAATCTGGGGCTAGCCCAACCTGTATATGTGGGTCTTTGAAACAAGAGAAAATTTTGTTTTATAGTCAGGACAGACCCAAATTCACTAAATAATATGTATCTGTTCATTTTGCTTAAGTTGTAGAGACATAGCCCAGGATGTTTTGTTAAGATCTGCAATACAGTGTTTTAGAATGTGCAGAATATAAACCACAGTTTTCTACCACCTTCTTGGCTTATGCTTACAGAGAGCATTATATTTTGTTCACGCTTTGCAATGAACAAACAGATAAAAACAAAACCAAAGGAAGTATTTTCTTCAAATCACACAAGAGGTCTATAAATAGAGGAAGGAATATTGTCTCAGTAAAGTCAAATCATCTTTGGTACTTTTCTGCATATTAGAGTAAAATGTTGCAAATAAGAGAAAACACAAAAGAGAAGAAAGTAGCTACGCTTCAAGAACAGGTCATCACCAATAATTTGCCCTTTGTCCTTAAGTTCTTCTCCCTATCTAAAAAGTGGGCTTTGTTGAAGGAAACTAGAAGCACAATGGTTGTCCGAGCAGCTATGAAGAGGTTTCTCTCCACTCAAGTAGATGGATTCCGAGACGCTCCAGGACTAGTTGGGTCTGACTGGCATCTGCCCTGTCGCTGTTCCTAGTGCGGTGGATAGTAAGCGTGCCTGACGGGGTTGGAATCATGCTGGAGCCCTCCTGGATCTCCCATTTTCTTCTCCTTGGGTTTGACCACTTTGCTTCTTCTGAAAACATGCTTTGTTCCACTGGACTTCTCAGAGGCTGACTTTATTGTCCTAAGCCCTTGATGTAATGTACCTCAGCAGAGAGAGGAATAAACACTAGGACATATGGAAATTACCTGCAGAAATAAGGTGAAAATTGTGGGAAATTCTCAACTCTTTAGCAAGTAGGAGTTGGGGCTGACAGGTGTCATGGTGGTTAAGGGCACTAGACACTCACATGACTGACTGTGGTTTGAGTCCTGGACCTGTCAGCTTTCTCTCTCTCTCTCTCTCTCTCTCTCTCTCTCTTTCTCTCTCTCACTTTTGCTCTATCCCTCTCTGGTCAAATTAAAATAAATAAATAAATAAATAAATAAAGTTAAAATATAATAGTTATTTAAAAAAAAAGAAGAAAATAGGAGTGAGGAAGAGTGAAGTTTGTGGAGAAAATATAAATTGTGATAACAGACTTTACTGTATTTCGATAGCAAACACAATCACTTTCATTTTGGAAGAGTCAGAAATTAATTCCTTTTCTTTGATGAATTGCCTAATTATAATTCCATTGCTGGCAAGAATTGTTTCTCTGAAGTTCATCACTTGCATTTAAAAAAAAAATTGGAGGGCCAGCAGGCGGCATAGTGGTTAAAAGGTGCTGGATTCCCACATGGCTGATGGCAGTTCGAGTCCTGGACCTGGTGGCTTGCTTTCTCCCTTTTGCTTTCTCTCTCTGGTCAAATTTAAAAATAATAACAAGTAATTAAATAAATAAATAATTCTTAAAAAAATTTTTTGAGAGAACATATACTTAGAGAGAGTGAGAGCAAGAAAGAAC